ACTGTGTAGGTCCTTGGAAAATTCATAAAATGAAATTTACACCCTTTTGGATTCACCAAAGAATTTCTCTGCATTATTTTATATATGGGCATTGCTATGGTGACACAGTGAAGGTATTATTGAATTTTTCATTTCTGATTTTTTTTTTAATACTCATAACTTTCTCACTGATTCCTACAGGCCCAGTTTGAACTTCAGGCATTTCATATCCGGGGGGAGCATGCGGTGGTAACAGCGAGACTAGAAGAAACTATTGAAAATCTCAAACACGAGTTAGAACACCGATGGCGAGGAGGATGTGAGGAGAGGAGAGACGTGTGCATCTCCACCGATGATGACTACCCTCCAAAGACCTACAGAAACGTGTGCATCCAGACAGACAGAGACACCTTCCTCAAGCCCTGTGAAGGTGAAAGCAAGACAACCAGAAGTAACCAAATAGTACCCAAAAAGCTGAATATCTCCTCTTTAGGCCAACTTTCTCCCCCAAATGACAGCAAAGACATTCACACATCACTTCAGTCTGTGGAAGGCATGTCATCAAATCAGAAGACGTCACCTCCCCCTCCCGCACCGCCCTTACCCGCATCCATTCCTCCCCCTCCTCCCCTCCCTCCTGGACTTGGACCTTTGTCACCAGCACCTCCAACGCCACCTGCGAGTGCTGGGCTTCCGCTGCCCCCTCCGCCACCGCCTCTACCTCCAAGTGCAGGACCTCCACCACCTCCGCCCCCACCACCGCTTCCTAACTCCCTGGTTCTGCCCAACCCCGGGGGCCCCCCTCCTGCTCCTGCACCCCCAGGACTTGCACCCCCACCCCCTCCCGGGCTCTTCTTCGGACTCGGCTCTTCCTCCAGCCAATGTCCTCGAAAACCAGCCATTGAGCCCAGCTGTCCCATGAAGCCTTTATACTGGACTAGAATACAAATAAGTGACAGGAGGTAAGCTCTCCCCTAACCCATTCTCAGCTTGTGAATTCCCAGGACTTTGCCCACATGATGTTTTATTCTTACCAGTTCAACATCTCCATAGTGTGGCACCCCTCATCAAATGTGGTACAGTGAATGCCTTGGATAAACAAGGTTGGGATGTTTGGGAAAAATGTCTGCCTCCCACCAGGTCCTCTGAGAGGCAGACATTCTTCTATGGGTCGAGGGTTGAGGGTGGGAGAAACAATTTGTTCAATGTCCGGGTCTTCTCTAAGGTAAATATTCCATTTTACAGACTAAAGAAAAGTCCAAGTCTAAGCTAGGACCTTCTCTGACATCACTGCAATTAATGCATAATCATAAAGAAATTGAGCCTGAATTAATACTGCAAGTTCACTGAGGATTTTTAGAATATCTTTTATGATTCACCATCTTGTTTTTAGGTGGTTTCATCAACCCATCAGTCTTAAAATATAATAATCTCTCTCTGTTTAAACTGTGGTTCCTCTAGCTGCTAAATGCTCTCCCATCTTTCTTTATACCTTGTTGCCCTTCAGAGAAGTGCCAGTATGTGAATAGCTAAGAAGTATCTTCCATTTGTACAGGTTGCAAAGCTGGGTTTGTGAAGCAGCTTGCTCATGGTCACTTGGACACTTACATTCAAACAGATTTGAGTTTGATTTCTTCTGCTTTCTTTCTGAGCCTGTCAGGAGGACAATGAAAGAAACGTTGAGTTGTCTCCTGACCACTTTCTAGTTTTGAAGTTTGTTTGCAAAAAGCAGCAAATATAGAACACATTTTAAAACTTAACCCCCAAATAAAATTTGGTAATAGGTCTTCAATGTATATAACATTTTGCTTAGAGAAATCAGGATACTAAAAATAACATGCAATTGACAATTATAAAACAACTGGGGCCAGGCACAATGGCTTATGCCGATAATCCCAGCACTTTGGGAGGCTGAGGTTGGAG